TCGGCATAGATGTGGTTGAACGACGCGCAGTGATCGACCAACGAATGATGATTAAGAATATGGGTGTATAATCGAGAGTACATGCCCTTTCCAGGGCCGCCTGCGGATGTCATTTGGCACTAGGATAAGGATATCAATAAATGACGACGACGCACCTGCTGAAAAGCTTCCACCGCCGCCAAGGAGGACTTGCATCGTCGCTAGATCATAAACGTCTTCGTCCATGATCCCAACACCCTCAAATCCAATATAGACGTGATCCATGGGCGATTCCGGGTCGTGAATGAAGCGGTAGCCACCAGTGTATCCGCTAGACGTCATATTGGGGATGGATGAGTTGGTACCAAGGAAGGAGGATGCGGCACGGGTCAAAGACTGGAGCATGGAGGGGGAAGATGTTGATGTTCCCAGGAGATGTGGAGGGACACGTTGCACACTGTTGTTGCGTGATATTAAAGGTTGAGAGACCTCAGCAGTCGGTGTTGGTGTCAATGAAGAGAAGTGCTTATCCGCAAGCTCGACGAGCTCCTCATGAGGTACTCCTACTGCAGCGAGGACCATGCGTTCAGGACGATACCACTGGCGCATGAACTTCCGCATAAGCCCTGCGTCGACGTAATTTATTCGATCCTCAGGGCAAAGCACGGGATTCCCAAGCCCTTGGCCGTTATACGCCACCTCATGTAAGATCTCAGGAAGGATGAGCTCCGGCTTGGACGATACCTCGCGCAGCTCGTAGGAGGCAGCGCCTCGTTGCGCTTCTAGCTCCTCTTCCTGGAACCGTGCATTCTGGACGGTATCGGCAATAAGGTCGACCGCGAGAGGGGTGGAATGGGCGAAGTGTGTCGACTGGTACATGACGGTCTCGCGCGAGGCAGTTGACTGTATTTGACCTCCTAGTGAGTTGATTGCTGCAGCCATCTCTTCGCTCGAACGTTTCGAGGTGCTCTATCACAGTGTTAGTCGACGCGTAGCGCGAGAGAACGGCACGACGCACTTGGAACGCCATCCTGTCAAGGAAATGGCTTACTCCCATAGTCGTCTGAGTCTCAAACCGCGATCCTGTGTCGACATAGAGACCTACGGAGGAAAAATGACCTGGCGTCTGCTCCGTCGCTACTCGCAATTTGTTGGGTAGGGTAGTGACCTGAACAGGATTTACGGGTGCGGTAGACGCGCGACGAGCAGACGCTTTGATACTATTCCTCAGAGTGCCATACGGAAGTCTCGACATGAGTGAGCTGTAAGGCTGTCGCAGGAAGGACGAAAGAGAGGAAGAAAGAAAGATGCGTCTACTGTCGTCGCGTGTCGAGGTAGACGTGCTCGCATAACACGCGCGGCGATCCGTCTGACCCTGTCTGACCGAGCTGACTGAACCCAGTGACGCGCGGTCACTGGCACTGACTGCACTGGTGCTTACAAAAAATGCGTATGACATATGTTTCACCATTATTAGCTGCCCGATTCAGCCTGCTTTTCAACGAGTACACGGACTCTGCAAACCTCCGCCGTTTTTAGTTCGAATTAGACAAACCCAGTGTACTGCCGACATGCCGGGACACCAGTGGGAAGGCGATCGTGACCGTCAGTGACAGGAACCGTTATGTTTCGCACCCTGCCAGTGCTCAGCTTCCTTGAGCTTCCTCGCCGGCATCTCTCTAGCAACCTCAATCCTCCTCCTAAATTCGCAACAGCCCGGAAAAGAGCTCTCGGAATACGTGTCTTTCGGATGATGAGTCACGCTAAGGGACTGGGATAATCATTCTCCTATCCAACATCCCGCGCTCTCCGTTCAACAACCGGAGACACAACAGTGGTACTAGCTCTTTGAGACTGGAGGAACATGGCCTCCTGCAGCTTTGATTTCTCAAGTTAGAGGACCCTGCCGTGATTTGAACACGGGACTCCGCGATAATAATGTACAACCAGAAGACAACGGAACCGCAATCGCATACTCTAACCACATGTACGCCCTGACAGGTCTCGCGGCTTATGCCGCCCTGCGGCTGCACACCGGCGCCGCGGCTTGTGCCTCCAGTCTCCCTCCTCGCGGGAGTACCATACGTAGTGTGCTTCTGCCCCCGCCTCTTATGTATCCTACGGCCGGCGTGGCTCTAGCTCTGCCGTCACGTTAATCCGGTGGTACTGCGGTAATACCATGGAAATAAAAAGAAAGGAGAAAAGAAGGAGAGCAGAGAAGCCTATAAGTAGTTACGTAAGCCCTATGATCGCGCTGTAAGGAAGGCTGTGGCCAGTGGCAAGGGACCTACGGACTTCCCTCTGGGTTTCACGTTCCTTCGTTCCCGATTCTCGCCGTCGTACTTGCAGCCACTGAGAATGAGCCTGAAAGAGGGCGTATGGGGTCCTGTAACCGCAACGCTGGACTGGTGCGAAGTATGGACCACTTTTGTCTCATTGCTTCCGCTCGCCATACTCAAACGAAGTGAGTCCATCAGGAGAACTACCAATTCTCGGATTACATTGCCGAATGTGCAAACACGTTTTCTAACATCATCACGATTTGGTTTGCCGTTTACGGTGCACGAGCTGCCGCCATTCAAGGACTTCCGGCGTTGTACATCACTAGCCTCGCGGTACATTCATCGGTCAACTATGTTTCGTCCCTCTGGCTTACCTACCGAGTTCGTAGGGTCTCGGCCTCGTTGGCATTGGAAGCTTCGCATTTCATGCTACTCTGCTGTATGAAGCCCAAATGGCTGACGAATTGCCTATGATATATTGTGCGAGCTGGGCACTCTTCGTCATGCTGGATACCGTACCAGGCCCTTCGAACGCCTCTCGCAGATGGTCACTTCTCGCAGGGACTGTATTGTTTGACGTATTCTTCACTATCTCATAGTATGTTCAGTTCAGTTTTTCGACGCAATGGGCTAACTGCTGCCACACCAAGCTACTTCTATCGCAATCCCGCATATCATCAGATCGTTTTTGCGTGCTTGCTCCTCTCGACGGCTATGCGGACGGTGTACATTACTCGGTTTTCCTCTGCGGCGAGACACATACCGGATGCGAAGAAGAAAGAGGCAAACAGGTTATACACGATCGGCGCAGGGCTTTTCGCCTTTGGCTTCCTCATATGGAATCTGGATAATGCATTCTGCAATGTGCTAACGGGATGGAAGCGATCAATAGGGTGGCCGGCTGGTTTTCTCCTCGAAGGTAGCTCCCTTCGAAAGCCGTTGTATGTTTCGTAAATAAGCTAACGGTTGTTGCAGGCCACTCGTGGTGGCACGTCTTTACCGTGCGTGCTGATTATTGTCCGTACAGACGAGATTCATTGGCTTTGAACTCATCCAGGGTGCTGGTACCTACTTTATGTTCGAAGCAAACGCATGTAAGCCCACTCCCATCTGTCATTGTAAGGCCTTATTAAAGACCATAACCTTTAGACCTGTGCGAAGCACTTCGCCTCCTCTGCCTATTGCGTACGATACTAATATCGTTCTAGCTCTCTGCTCGTTAAGGACCGGCCCGACGCGTATGAAATAGCATACCATAGCGGATTACCCGTCGTTCGCCGCACAGAGACGAAAGCGAAGCCAAATTGACTCAGCATAATCATGTCTCATCTTGGATCTTACAATGCCAGCTAGTAGGGATAATTGTGGAATAGAGTTGTGGAGTGATCTTGTTGCGTGGACTGGTAACAGTGATTAGGGATACTAAGTACTGTACTCCTTACTTTTTAGCTGTCGTGTGCGGGGCAGTGCCTACGCGTCACCGACTTTCCACCTCTCCATCTCTAAGATACTGATCCCACCATCCTCAGCACCCTCATATATGAGCTGCTGCTCGTGCGCCCACTTTTTTAGGTATTTTGCAACCGTAAGATCCGTCGGCGTGCCCGCAAGCATTCCGAATGGCTGCTCATAGAGCGCCGTGCTGTCCTCTTCGCCTTCGGGCGCACGGAGACGTGTTGCACCGTAGCCGACAATCTGACGCGCAAGTGAGCGCTCGATGCGATCGAGGTCCGAGGTGAAATTCTCCGTCGTAAGAAGTGTTGACAGGCTTGACGACTTGAGAGCGATCAGAGCGAGTGCGGCCGTGCGGCCCTGCATTGGCTTTGCGCCGCCGTGCGCGTACGACGTAAGATGAAGCGCCAGCTCCGCTTGAGCAGGGGGGAATGGATGACGTGCGACGGCAACCGCGCGATGAAGAACGATGAGCTCGCCTGTCTTCGCAATTGTCTCTCGAATAGAATCTCCGACGGAGACCTGGGCCACGCCACCTGTAGCACGCGAAGAGATGAGCGGCGCGCCTTCGAGAGTGGCGATATCCACGGGTGTTATGTAGTCCAAGGCGCGTTCGTCGTGCTCGGCAAGGAACGCGGCGGTGTGCGCAATATCATCGAGCAGGTTCGTGAAGAGGTCATTGCGCGCGACAAAGTCCGTTTCGCAGTTGAGCTCGACCATCGCAGCGCGTATGCCGTCTCGACGGACGCCGCGCGCGAGAACGGAGAGACCGATGAGGCCTTCAGTCGTCGTACGGGACGCGGATTTTGCAGCTTTCTTCGCACCGGCAAGTACCATGTCCTTCGAGAGCCATCCAAGCGCCTTGTCAATATCGTTCTCTGCTGCGGCCAACGCCTCGCGAGCCTTGGAGATGGATAGACCATCAATGGCTTCCCGGAGCCGCTTCACGAGCTGGGCCGCTGAGGGCTTGTCGGAGGATGTGGAGTAAGCATAAACACAATTCGAAAGGGCTGCGGTCCGCCAAGCGTGGACTCGAGATGCTCTGAGAACTGTGAGCATTATGGCGGGCGGCGATCGCGTGCAACGTCACGGCTGCACGACCCAGGCGCGAAGATATATTGTCACGTGCGCGTGGCTCAGCTCATCGCTGATGTGGGGAGCAAACACAGATTGCCAGCAGAAAAATCGGAATTGGCTTATTTCGCCGATAGAATGAAAGTCGTCGTCTTCAAGCCGACATCAACCGATGTCTGTGAGCACAAAAGATAAATATGGAGTACAAAACGAAGACCCTGCCGTGATTTGAACACGGGACCCCGCGATAACTTCTTGCAGATGATCTACGCTGCAATCGCATGCTCTAACCACTGAGCTACAGAGTCCACACCTACCTAACATTTAGTTAAAATCAGAGCCAGAATGAGCTCTTAATGATGGCCGTAACGCGATGCATGATTTTCAGTGCTTGTGCGCGACGCGTTCTCGACGCGTTCTATACTTCGGCTCTCCCCGCCATGGACACTTCGAGCTCGGGCTACGCCAGTGTGCCCTCAGACTCCAGCTTCAAGGTACCCGCCCTGCTACCTCAGGACTTGTCCATCATCCAGGATATTATCGGCCCTTTGCCGAGCCAGACTCCTATTTTGCACACCGCTAAAACCGAGAGCTTGAACGACGATTCCATCGCCAGTTCGAGTGATGACGAGAGCGCTTCTGACGAAGACAGCGAAAATGAGGTGAAAGCTGAGATATTGGATGGGTTGGAGTATTGTCCAAGTGAAAGGCCGCTCAAAAGGTTCGTGCCGCGCACTTTCATACATGCTTCTGTTCTAAGCAGGCATCGAAGTGAAGGGCCCGCAGAGCCCTCTCCCGATTCTTCAGACTCGGATTCGTCAGTGGAAGATGAGATCCCGTTCCGCCGAGGCAATCAGCCTCCTGTCGGACTCATGATGGATGCCGACGAAGACGAGGACGGCGAGAGTGGCGTGCCCACCGCCTCTGCCGTCCTGACAAAAAATGAGGTCGTTGAGGTGGACTTTAATGTGCCCGAGATTGACGAGGTCAGTGCAGATGAGGAGCTTGAACGTGTGGGTTATGTGATGAGCGTCGTGAACAATGTCGTCATCGTGCGCGGAACGGCGGCAGAGAGTCTTGGTAGGATGTCAGAGAAGGCTCTTGACGCGGACACACTACTTGTCTTTGAAGACAGGAAAGTTCTGGGATACGTACGTGCTGTGCATATCTCGCCTTTGTCCCACTCCAACGCTGTGCTTGCAGGTTTACGAGACTTTCGGCCCAACATCGCAACCTTTTTACCAGGTGCGGTTCGGCGAAAAATACCCTCTCAGCCTAGAGCGGGTCAGTGTTGGACGACCTGTTTTCTATCTGCCGCGATACGGCAAATTCGTGTTTGTCTCTGAGCTAAGACGGCTCAAGGGCAGCGATGCGAGTAACGTGCACGATGAAGAGCCTGCAGAGTACGAGCTCGAATTTTCAGACGACGAGGAAGAGGCTGCTCACAGAGCGCGGATGAAGCAACAGTACGTGTTCGTACTCTTGCGTCCTCACGACTCTCAATCTCCCACAGGAGACAGGGCTCTCAAGCACCGTCATCATCTTCGCGGTACTCGACGCCAATACCGTCGCAGATGCGCGATTCAGACATGGCCGCAGAAGAACCATACGGTTCAAATCCGTATGACGCTCACGGGATTTACGACGATTTGGGAGCGGGACCTTCGCGCGCCGCCCCATTACCCTACGATGACCCATACTCGGACAGCTTTGGCATTGGCTCGCCCATCGCGTCTGCAAGCGGTTCACCCCCAAGAGTACACTCTGCAGGACAGAATGATCGTGGGAGAATGCGGGGAAGAGGACGCGGCCGAGGAAGCGAGCGAGGCGGTCCTCATGGGCGGGGACGGGGGTGGGGGCGGGGAGGCGACCGTGGCCGCAGACGAGATCGAGGAAGATCAGTTGGCACCGGGGCAGGGCTGCACCAGCCGCAGGGAGTACAGATGCGCACGCAAGGGGCACCATCCCTTCCCTCAGCACCTAGCCAGTTTGACGACCAACCACAACATCAGCCTTGGTCACTTGGGACATTCCAGCAGCCTCCTCAACCGCCGCCGCAGACGGCTTTTGGCAGTGACATGGGCTTTGGCGGGCAAGGCTTTGTGCCACCGCACATCAATCCGCGATTCATGATGAACCCCCAGTTCGCGGCGCAGATGGGGCTTAGCATGGGCTGGATGCAGCAGCAGCAGCAGCAGCAGCAGTCCATGCCATTACAATTCGGCGCGAACGGACAGCAGGGGTGGAATGGTAGTGGGCAAGGGTATGGGCATGTTCAACAACGGCCGCCAGGTGGCAGCGGTGGCGATGCTTTATAAAACAAAGTTTTTGGAACACATGTTCTTCAGCAGTACTCGTAGTTGCGATACTCTTTGGCGATGCGCGCACCTTTTGCTTCAACGTCTGGCTTCGCATCCACCGCCCACCAGCCAACTTTCTAGCGGGCCACGGCATCCATCCTCGTACTCTGCCGTGGGCGTGCTCTGAGGCAGCTTGGCCGACGAGCAGCGAAAAAGAGGAAGGGTTACGGCGCGTCAAGTTGAGCCCACGCCGTCATGCCGAAGCGCAAGAACCCCCCGGCTCCCCCACCCGCGCACGATGACCAGCCCGTCGCTGGCCCCTCGACGCCCACGCCGCCACCGCCGTCACGCCTGCAGGAAAAACGTCGTCAGCTCCCTGCGCGCTCGCGCCGCGGTGGTCCCGGCGTCGGCAGCACGCCTGTCGACGAAATGATCCTCGACACACTCCGCCGGCGCCGTGCGTCCGCCGTGATTGCGCTCAGCTCTGACTCTCACACATGCGCACCGGAATTTTACAGAAGACACAGAACCGCTTATCCCGCCGGAGACGCGCTTCCTGCTCACGACGGACACCGCGTACGCGGTCGAGGCCGCGGCGCACGCGGGCACGTCGCGCGCCGCGGACGGGCTAAACCTCAACCGCGCGGCGGAGACGCGGTATTTCGAGAAGCCGGAGGTCATCGAGGCCCTGCGCGCACAGCGCGAGATCGAGACACCGGAGTTCTGCCAGCTCGAGGAGCATGCCGCCGTCGGTGGCCGCTTCCGTGCGCGTGCACACGAAGACGTGCGTGTTCCTCGCCCCATTTTCTCTCGCGTGCCGCGTCTTTTATTCCTACGTTTTCTTCTGTCACATCTCTACGCGAAGATCGGGATATCGTGCTTATGTTACGTGCAGGATGGTGTGGATACGTCCGACGCGGCATATGAGAAGCGACATCGGAAATACGAGACGTTCGAGAAGCGGCAGCGTCTGCGGGAGAAGGAGAAGCTCAAGCACGAACACTACAAGCTCAAGGAGCGCATCGAGCAGTTGCGTGCATTCGACCCGAGCGCGTTCCTAAACGTCGATGTCGACGGCGAAGACACGCCCGAGATGAACGGACAAGCGCAGCATGAAGGGGAGCGACGTAAAGCGGTGATACTGGAGGTGGCGGACGCGCTGGAGGGAAGGTACAGGACGCTTCTCAATCCGGACGCGGTCAAAGCGTATGAGAACGCGTCGAAGGCGCGGGAGGCCATGGGTAACAGAGAGGAGGGTGAGGAAAGTGCAGGAGAGGAAGAAGAGGACGAGGAAGGCAGGGAGGAAGAGGAGGAAGCAGGGATTACGGAGGGTGAGGATGAAGACGAAGCGGTGGAAGGTGGAGTGGAAGAAAGTGAGGAAGATGAGGATAAGAATAAGGATGAGGAAGATGAGGACGAGGAGGCGGTGGAAGAGGTGGAAGATGGTGACGAGGAAGATGGTGAAGAGGGAGAAGATGGCGAAGAGGGCGGTGAAGATGGTGAAGAAGAAAATGGTGGAGAGGAGGTCGAGGTTGAGGTAGAGGAGAAGCCTACTCTACCTTCACGTCGACCAGGACCGCAAGCGTCTCCTCTCCGGATCCGGCTTCCTGCGCGGACGTCGTTGCCTTCGACGGCAGCGTCGACACCGCAAGCTTGGCACGTCACCTCGCCGCTCGCCGCGTCTGCTCCGGCCCGCAAATCCCTCCGCTCACGTGGCCAGCACCTCCCGAACGGCGACGTGCCATCACATCCCTCCGCCTCCGCTCCTCTCCCAACTCCCTCCCCTCGTAAGCGTGCCCGCTTGCCCTCGCATATCTCCGACGGCGGACCCTCCGTCTCACCGCCCGTCACGCGCCGTCCACAACCCGACTGGCGAAAGTGCGATCTGTACACCTTCGCCCTTCGCGCCAATCCTTCGCTCTCGCGCAAGCCGCAGCGGCACAACGCCGCTTTCGGCGTGAAGCTGCCTGAGTTCTCTGAGGGCGAGTTCGAGATCCCGTTTTGGGCGCGCCTCGAACTGCTCAAAGAGGAGCCAGACGAGGACATGGTAGTCGGTGGAGACGAAGAGGCTGACGAACTCATGGCTGAGAGTGGTGTGTCGTAGGAATCAGCAACCGCATGCATCCTCGGCTTTTCCCTGTAGCTTTGTCGTCTTACTGCACGCACATCACGGTTACGGGTCTATCATTATTCGACTATTTGTTCTGTGAGGGGAGCTGATTGTATGGGAGCGGCGGGCTCTGCACTAGAAACAAATGAAGGAGCACAGAGTAGAGTACGAGAAGAAAATACGTCCCAAGGTGGTTGGACAACTATGCGGCCTTACGCGTCCGTTTCGCGACACGCATGGAGGTGTACTTGTCGATGATACCCAACGCCCTTTGACGTTTCCCGATCGACACGTCCGCGCGGTACACGAGCACGCCCAACGCGTATCGCAACGGGCGCTTGTATGACAGCTGGGCTTGCAAGGCCCTTTTCGGGATCTTGGTCGAATAGTCGCCGCCGAGCTTCTTGAACGCGGCCCGAATCTTGTTCGCTTCATTCGGGGTCAAGCTGACTGTGCCAGGCTTGCGAGCAGCTACCCCCGCGGCCTTACCGACCCTGGCAGTGGTCTTGACTTTGACACCCTTCTTCTCAGGGACATTGGTCTCGGAGACCTTGGCGTCTTCTGCGAAGAGAGCACCAAGGTCGGTCGTGCCGAGGCCGACAGACAGACGATCAAGCGCGCCAGCGCGCTTGCGCATGGGCTCCGAAGCGCCCAGCTCCTGAGTCACGGCCTCTGGCACGACGGAGGATTCGCGCATCTTGCGGGGCAGCGAGGAGGGAAGATCAAGGCCTGTACCAGCGGCGGCGGCTTCGGCGCGCTCCTTCAGGTTGAGTTTCGGCTTGGGCGCAGCATCGACCCCGAGCTTGGGCGCAACTTCGGTCCTGGACTCGTAGCGAGGCGCGAGCGCCGACCTCTTGCCGACTGGCCGCGACCCGTCGACACCCCGGCGTTGTGCGTC